CTCGTCCCTCTTTTTAACTAGCCACGAGCGCCAAGAAATACGCAACGGTACAGGTAATAAACTCACTGTAGACACAATAAATTGTTGGTAACACTCTGTATTCCCTATTACCGACTAAAAGTAATAAATATTGCACAAAAGTATGCAATGGTATTGTTCACAGTTAGCACCGGTAGCCGCGTTGCAGAGAAACGCAGTGACTAGGGCAAATAAACTAATTGTGCTGAACGTAAATCGAATTGAATGAGCACAATCACAACTATTATATGTCCTAAATATATTAGAAATATAGAATACATATATAATATTATATATATATGTATATACTGCTTGGAATTTATTAGGTTTTTTCACTACCTAACATAATCATTATATAATACAATATATGTAACATATGTACATCTATAATATTAGGTAAAGTAAAAAGTTCGTTCGGTTTTTATCTAAGAGATGGCGTTATTGTCCATAGTACTAGTGTTACGTATCGCATCATGTCATACTATACGGCGCTAAAAACGTGTTTATTCGCGCTAAAAGTTTGTTGTTGACAGTTTTTCGATTGATTAACTCAGTTCGTTGTGAGCGCTCGTCAAAGATGGACACCAGCAAAGAGAAAATTCGCTTATATTTACAATTTTTCTTCGATCAAAGCGAAAAAGCAGCCAAAGCGGCTGAAAAATTAATTTAGTTTATGGGCCGATACCGTAAACGAACATGTAGCACACAAGTGGTTTAAAATTATGGAAATAGTGGAAACAGACCGTCACGTGAGCACTTATTTAATTGCTGAGGAACTAAAGATAAGCCAGAAAACCGTTTGGAACCATTTGCATAACCTTGGATTCAAAAACAAGCTCGATGTTTGGGTGCCACACGAACTAACGCAAAAAAACATGATGGACCGAATTTCCATCTGCGAATAAACACGTTTTCAGCGCCGTATAGTATGACATGATTCGAAACGTAACACTAGTACTATGGACAATAACGTTATCTCTTAGATAAAAACCGAACGAACTTTTTATTTGACCAATAATATTCACTGAAAATCGGTATATATAATATAATACGTGAGGGAGCAACACAATTTTATTCAATTCATAATTTTTTTTATATTTCTGAGCACGGGACGCTTTACTCGGAATCTGGACTGTCCCGTCCAAACCGGGACGAATGATCAGCTAAGTTTAAACCCATTGTCATGCACGATTGCCAATTTTTCATATAAAGTGTATATTTATAGCTCCTCTTATTCATTCTTTTTTGTAAAAATAATAAATCTTTGCTAATTGCAGGTGTCAAGATCTACTTGCATGTGTGAGGGTACCTCGACAGACTGGAACGATAAATCATTGAGAAATCCAACTTAACCTATACTCAAGCCTTAGTACCAAATTCAATTCTACTTTATTGAGCAAAAAGGAATGGCAAAAAGACAAGTGTCGAAGAGAGCAGCAAATTTTGTCTGTTGTCGATGAATGGTAGATCCAGTCAGCGGAAACTGAAATTGTGATGTGTTAACTAACCGAAATTGCCACCAGAAATTACCACTACACGACCGTAACGTATACACAAACTTTTCGTAGCAGCAAAGAGTGGCAAGTATACCGGCGCTCGTTAACGAGTTGGTTATTGTTGTAACAACGTAAGTGAGTGCATATGTGCAGTTGGCATTACAAAGTTCGCAAACAAGAAATAAATGAGCACATCAACAAAGAGAGTTACGTGTAAATAAATGTTAGTGGTAGTGCTGGGTTTGCGGCTTTTGTCACTCACAAGTGTTGCAGTTGAGTCAAGTTCTATGCGAAATTGGCAAAGAAAGTAGCAGCAAGAAATCTGTGTTGCAAGTTGTCTGACAGCTGTTACGCCAGTCATCTTAATGTTATGCGATAGTCTAAGAAGGTCTTATATTAAAGCAGTCAGAACTCGCTTAAATACGCTACAAACAAACCATATTGAAAGTCATAAGTTTTCGGCAATGGCATCTGGAAAGAACAACATATAATAACATATATGCGAGAACATACAATAGTTGCGACTGTAAATTCTACTTAATCTCGCACAAGTCGCAACTCCGCGGGCAACCGTAAATTACGAAAGCTGGGTCACTGTGACATGAAATTTAATAACGGAAACGGTAACAAAGAGTCATAAACAAAGGTGTATTTACACAATTACACATATACACACATACATACACATTAGCCTAAACTTTAACTTAAGCGCAGCATGGAGTCATTTATACGCGAGTATGCGGGGCGCAGCATCCTGCCACATTTGCACAACTCCGGCGGCGCGTTGCAACGTTACGTGCGCTATGTCCTCGAAGACGCGGTGGCAAGTATACCAAGCAGTAGCAAAAACGGTGCCAGCAGCGGCAGCCACAAAAACAGCCTGCTCATCGGCCTAACTAAAGACAGCGGTGATAGCGCCGAGAGCGGCAATGACTACTACTTTGTTACATCGGCATCCGCTGAGCAATTGCTCAAAGATAGTGAAAGTGTTGTGGCTGCGACCACCGCAACATCCGCGGAGCTGGTGCCACACTCGCCGCTTGCGTACAACGAAAGAAGCTACGCCACCGTCGATAGTGCATCGGTGCAGCTGTTATCAACGCTTACCGTGACTATGAGAACTATTAGCGAGTTCGCGACCACCTCGGCAACAGCTGTTGTGAGCACAACGACGGCGGCAGATGGCGAGCTGAATATAACCGCCGAAATATGTGATGACTCAGCTGAGGATGTGTCCGCGCTATCGACGGCCTATTTCAAGACCATCGTCTATCTGTTGTACATTCCGATATTTATATTCGCGCTGTTGGGCAATGGCACCGTCTGCTATATTGTGCAGTCAACGCCGCGCATGCGTACCGTAACCAATTATTTTATAGCCAATTTGGCGGTGGGCGATATATTAATGTCGCTCTTTTGTGTTCCCTTTTCGTTTGTGTCCATTTTCATTTTGAAACATTGGCCTTTTGGTACTGTGCTTTGTAATTTGGTGAATTACTCGCAAGCGGTGTCGGTGTTGGTGAGCGCGTACACGCTGGTCGCCATTAGTATTGATCGTTATTTGGCGATTATGCGGCCATTGCGACCGCGTATAACGAAAAGGTAGGTAAAAAAAGTCATTTGAGTGCATATATATGTAAATTATTCATATTTAGTAATTTATATGTTTATTAAATTTAATCAAAAAATTTCTAAAAGCTCCGTGTAAGTTTGACATACTCGTAACCATGATATTTATACCCTGAACAGGGTATGTTAAGTTTGCCACGAAGTTTGTAACATTCCAAAAGAAACATCGGAGGCCCTATATAATGTATATGTAAATGATCAGCCTGACGACCTTAGTCGATTTTGCGAGATAAATGTTGAATAAACCCTAAGCGTTTGAGGTATTAATATACAATTTTACACACGTCCTTTTCTCACTAAGAAGCAGCTCATTTGGCGGAACCACCGATATCGGACCACTATAATATATAGTTGCCATACAAACTGAACGCCGAGAGAGTTGAACAAGTTATGTTAGAAGTATGTGACAAGCAGTTCAGCGATTGCAGTTCAAGAAATTACAGGTGGGCGCAAGCCCCTTGCCAAATGATGTTGTTATTATAGAACAGCCTTAAACGAACATAACTTCTAGTTATATTAAGAATGTTATTGTGATCTCTTCGCAGTATATATCTTAATATGTTATGTTGCTAATTATTTAAAACCTCGAACTCTAAAAAGAAAAATAATAATAATATCGTTTTAATATTCGAATTGAGTTTAAATTTGATGAACATAAGAGTCGACTTCCAGCAATAAATTCAATAATAAGTTTAAGAAGACATAGTTGGCTACAAAACATTTCAAGAACTAACGAATATATTTTGAGTGATTTTATAACAATTTTTAAAAATATCGTAGGAAGTTCTCGTGGTTCTATAGATACCGATTTGATTAAGAAGTATTAAGAAAATAGAACTAACAAGTAAGAAAGGGCTAATTTCGATATATCTATGCCGCCACTATATCGCGTATATTGGCACTAGGGTGTCTGATTATTTTAACGTTTGGCATTATGCAAGCCTTCACACACTGACCGATAGATATATTTGGCATAAAGTCTGCTACTCTAACGAAAAGCAATTTATTGTACATAAATATTATACGCATTAAACTTATATACATATATTCCATATTATAACGTTCACTACATTTTGTTAAGATATCTAACATATTGACTGACATCTACGGTATAAAGCCAAAACACTTTTATTAATATTGAAATTATTATATTAGGAATACGGAGGCTAAGGGATATATACATTTTTTACAACATTAACATTTCAAGAATGTAACATAGTACTGTCAGGATAATGTTATATACCGAATTTGTTCTTGAGATATTAAATTTCACCTAAAGGTGGGCTGTGCTACGCCCATTGTTCAATTTTAATATGGGCTCCTACAATTTTTATGTTCATATTTTTATGACCAAGGGGATGAGTGGGTACGGCCATTTTTAAAAAAGTTTCAAACCATAGTCGCCCTTTTGTCCTGCGATTCATTACACTAAATTTTCGCTTAACGGCAATTTTGGAAGTGTTCGGATTACACCCATCTACAACACTGTCTGAAATCAACTGAAATTCAAATTTTCTCGTTGTCCTGAACGTTTATATATTTATAACACCGTATTTATCTCGATTCGTTTTAGGTGATGAAAATAACGTTGTCTGAACAAAAGTATTATGTGCTGTAGCAATATCTAGCGAGAGTATAAAAATAGATGCAATTATACATAAAATATCTTCATTTTAAAAATAAGGTCCCGTTGATCAGATATTATCATATCTGTGATTCACAAATTAAGAGTTTTTTTTCGCTGAAAAAAAGTATATATTTTCCACTGCAATTATGTTTTCACATTTAAGGAAGAGTAATTCTTGTTTTGATTTCAAGCTTAAAGTCACATTTACAAATCTAAAATATCATGTGAGTTTGTTGGATGAAATTATACTTATACCTACTTTCGCAATATGTTGCAACAGCTACACTGCTTTGTTCATCGTACAGTTGTTTGTAATATCCTGAACTAATCGAGATAGAAATGGATTTATAGTAGTAGTCGGTGTCAAAATATATATATGTGAAAGCTCGTACGATAACCTGCCTTTCAACTCCTCAATACTCAACAGCTTGAGTTAAGCAATTAGTATAGTTAGTACTTCTCAAGAAGTCATATATGCGAAACGTATAATAGATTTGCTTGGGGCTAAGCTGCTGATGAGGGCACATCGGTTAATTAGAAGAGGCTTTACCCTTTTCCCGATGTAATGGTCTCTCAATGTTCTCTATGATAAACCATCCAGACATTATATAAAATAAATTTTTCATTATAGGCATATCTCATTTTTTTCTTCACCTTACAATGTAATTTACAGTAGCGCTGAGTATTAAAAAGTGTAAGAGATAGTCGACCTAAGTCGGCCCAAACATTGGTACTCGTTGAGGTTATACTCCGAAAACATCTATAGTAAGACTTAATTTAGCATTAAGGCAAGTATTACTATTTGAAGTATATTAGTCACCTGCACACCAATAGCCGTCTGAAAAGTGACGCGTAATCCCATAATAAAACTGAAAATTAAATTATTTCACTTTATATTACTGTGCTCCCACATTAAGTATTTATAACAACGAGCAGACGGAGGGTTGTAAATAAATAAAATAATTTCGCCAGCCAGTATTACAATTGATATTGCCACAGAGAGGTCGAGTATACCTGGTTGGTAGAAAGCAGGCTAATTGACAGCGCGCTCGTTTATAAACAATTGCGACACTGAACAGTGTTGTAATTTTGCAATCGTGTGATAATACAAATTTCATATTGACACGTCTCCCAACTGAATTTTGTTTGTTTTTCTTTACCGTCTGGATTTGAGCGCATAACAAAGATTTATGAAGAAGCGAAAGCTACAAAAGAGGAGCGGAGCTGTACAGGCGCAAATATTTGCAACAACAAACTGTTTAAAGGTTACTCATACGCCATGTAGCGCTTGCTGAGCCTTTACGTGACGTACACTTAAGCAAGCAATAATAAACATTTCAATGCTTACTTTGCAGCGATATTTATGCAATCAGCTGTAAGGCGCAAGTATATCAAGCTGTTGTACTTAGCCGCACCCAGCCGAGCATACATATGTATATGTTGGTATGTATAGTATAGTATATAGATATTAGCTCACGAAACAAAAAATCGAAAAAAAGTTAAAGTTTTGTAGCAAGCACGCAAGCAAATGCTGCCCACCTGCTGCCTGCTGATGTCTTGTATAAACTTTAACTTTTACGAGCTCATAAATAAAATATACTTATGCATATACTGTACTACATATGGCATGTGAGGTGTGCTTACGGGAAAGTAATACTTGAGTGTTAACGGTTTATTCTGCTCTAAGAGCTTACTGCCGTTATATTCGCTCTGAGCTTAGCGTTCTTTGACATTTATGTCATAAGCATGTGGATATAGTTATGTCTGCATAAAGTAGTATAATATCATGGTTTAATGATTTTAACTAGCACTAGCAAAACATCCCTGAAACTTCTAAGCTGTACCTGTATAAGTGAAAGTTTCACTTAAATATTAGATTTAGCAATTTGTACACCAAATTTAAAATTATAGACGAATTTCTTTTATACTGCTATTTCTCTATATCTTATTAGTTTAGGTGTTAGTAAAAACATGAAATATCAATTATTATAAGAAACAAGTAAGGAAGGGCTAAGTTCGGATGTAACCGGACATTTTATACTCTCGCAAGGTCAAATGGTATACTCGTTTGAGATTTCTTTGTGGATTGACTGATATTTTCGGTAGAAGGTTAACTATAGGCACTGGGGTCCACATATTTAGTACTTAGGGGTTTGAACAGTTTTGGTTCGATTTAGACAATTTTTGGCCGCAAGGTGGCATACTTTAATTGCATTATTCACGCAAAGTTTTACCCCGATATAATCATTTTTACCTGATTTGCATAGTGGAATGTGAAAGAATCAGATGGAATTGAAAATGGTGTTACATGGGAAGTAAGCGTGGTTGTAGTCCGATTTCGCCCATTTTCGCACTATGACATAGAAACATGAAAAGAACGTTATGCACCGAATTTGGTTGAAATCGGTTGAGCAGATCTCAAGATATGGGTTTTCACCTAAAAGTGGGCTGTGCCACGCCCACTGTCTAATTTTGAACGCGGTTCCTATAAAGTCATCTTATACCATCTCAGAGATAAAATTTAATGTCTCTGGCGTGTTTAGTGCTTGATTTATCGCGCTTTTAGTAGTTTTTAACAGTACCGTTATATGGGGAGTGGGCGGAGTTGCCACCCGATTTCAACTATTTTCACACCGTCAATAGAAGTGCTAAAAACATTTGCTTCCAGTGAATTTTGTTATTATAGCATTAGCGGTTTAGGAGATATGCACATTAAACCTATTAGAGGCGGGACCACGCCCACTTTTTAAAAAAAATTTTAACCCCTAACCAGATGCCCCTCCTTAATGTGATCCTGTGTACCAAATAACAGTCTTGTATCTTATTGCGGAGCTTAGTTATGGCAAGTTATTTGTTTTTGATTAATGGCGTTTTGTGGGCGTGGCAGTGGTCCGATTACGCCCATCTGCAATACCAACCGTCTCACGGTACCAAGAAACATGTCTACCAAGTTTCATAAAGATATCTCAATTTTTATATCTAACTCGATTAATTTTAGGTGATACAAACAACCGTTAGGTGAACAAAACTATTATACTCTGTAGCAACAGGTTGCGAGAGTATAAAAAGTACAGTCCACTAAAATATTTTCCCTCGGCAATATGTTCAAATATCTTTGAACATGCTTATCACTGATAATGCTGAGGTAGTACAAAACGTACATATAGAAATAGACAAACATAAAATTATATGCATTTATATTGCAATACGCATGCATACATAAATAAATGTATGCATAGATAAAATAGAATTTCAGAAAATAAATTTATGCACTATAATTCTGTAAACTTGAAAACTAAATATGTACACAGCAATATAAAAATCCATATCACATAAAATATTAATT